GCATAACTTTTACGTTCACTCTGAACACGGGTGTCTTGAAAATGTATTCCTCGAAATCCATTTCATAGCAAAAAGCTGCGTGGCTGCTTGGCCAATACATAATTTTAGTGATTTTTTTCCGGTAATTTTTAACCATTTTCTCAGAAGTATAGACTTCGCTATCACGTCTGTTATCTCTTATGTAACGTTGCCTTATTGAGTCTGTTATCTCTTTTGTGACGTTACCTTACATCTCCTACCAAATTTTTATTGCACTTCATTTATTTTATTGCATGCACTGTAATAATGAGAATCCGATCATAACTTAAATAAATCCGATCAGTGAAATGGCTTCAGGCAATCTTTTTATTGTTCATTATCGTATTTTGATTCTTCAGTATAGTTTTTTCGTTGTTCAATATCGTTTTATCATTGTTCATTATCGTTTATACATTGTTCGCTGTCGTTTATTCCGTGTTCGTTATTATTGTGGTTTGGCGTAAAACTACAGAAATAAGGGAAACTTTTTCGAAATAGCAATACACTTTTTGCAGTTGTGTGGGTCATCCTGACCCTGTTTGTCCCGACAAAGGAGCGTATCAGTGCTGCAACTGCTGTGTGTGAAAAAAACTATTGTAAAATGTGACTCTTTTTGTTTTTCGTCTATAAATCTGTGGCGTGTTGATATATCAGCAATCGATAATGTCAAACTTAACTCCATCAACACGCACGACCTGCTTTGCACTTCCATTTAGCCCTGACTTATATATATGTATTGGAGACACTTGCAGCCAGCAGCTTTAGTCCGGCTCGATCAAGATAATGAATGTTTTGTCGGTCACTGCTGCGTATCTCCAGCCACATGCGATCCAAGCTGCGTCGGTTATAACTGGATATAGCAAACTCTGCAATGCGCGCCACCTTGTACGTACAGTTGTGGAGTGCGTGCGTCTAGTGCGCGTGTTTCGTGTGTGTAGGTGTGTATTTCCCGCGTGTAGACGTGTTTCGTGCGCGTAGGTGTGTAGTTCGCGCGTGTAATGTATATTTCGCGCGTGTATGCGTGTATTCTGTACAGTGCATGTATGTTTGTATTACGTACGTATTGGCATGTATAATGTAAGAATGGGCATGTATTCTACATGTATAGGCGTTTATACCGTAGGTACATACAGACGTGTATTATATTACATGATAATACTCCTGCGCAATACATATGGCATCACAATGTTTATTGATCTCCAATTAAAACAGCTTGTGGCTAGAATAAAAACGAATAAATTTTTCGCTGCATAATTCTACGTGCAGCGAAATTACTATTTGTGAGTGGAAATTGCCTGGAAATAATTATGCGGGATCTATGATATATACTCGATCATCCGTTATGTACAGTGGGGGGAAATAAATATTCGTACACTTGAAAAATCGTATTTTAATGTATGTAAGTACACAAACTTAACGGGAAAAGTGATTTAAATTATGTATAGAGACTCATAGTATTCAAAAATACTATCAAAAGAAATTAAATCTCAATGCAACAAAAAACAATGCAACATGTTCACTTTTCGGGTGAAAAAAGTATTCGTACAAAACAATAAATCCGCATTATTTTAATTTAATACTTGGTTGAATACCCTTTATTCAGCTCAACAGATACCAGTCTATTTCTATACGTTGCGACCAATGATTTGCAGATGCTGACTGGTATTTTATACCATTCTTCTTGGCACACCACCTTAAGATTCTCAATGTTTGTTGGGGACCTTTTCTTAATTTGAATCAACTAATTCTATCACGTTGGAAGGAAGGAGAAAGTTATAGGAAGATTGCTAGCCTCTTAAATGTTCCTTTTAGTACAGTTGCTTCGTTCATTGGACGCTTCAAGACCCGTGACAGCGTTGAAAACCAAAGACGATCAGGTGCTCCTAGGAAGATTTCTGCACGATCTGCTAGATTATTGGGACTAAAAATCCAAGAAGATCCACAGATTACTCGAGGAGAGTTGCAAAGTCACCTGAGTGCCTCAGGAATTCAAGTAACCAATATAGAAATAGACTGGTATCTGTTGAGCTGAATAAAGGGTATTCAACCAAGTATTAAATTAAAATAATGCGGATTTATTGTTTTGTACGAATACTTTTTTCACCCGAAAAGTGAACATGTTGCATTGTTTTTTGATGCATTGAGATTTAATTTCTTTTGATAGTATTTTTGAATACTATGCGTCTCTATACATAATTTAAATCACTTTTCCTTTTTGTGTACTTACATACATTAAAATACGATTTTTCAAGTGTACGAATATTTATTTCCCCCCACTGTAGGTATCTAGTGATAAGACGATGTTTTCCTCGATACCTTTCTATCGCAGCTTTAGATACGTAAAACTTGAATTTTTATAATAAATTCTCTACACAATGTTTTCTTCTTGCCCTAGTTATTTGTTTTCAAGATTGTCACTCTGCATCTAGTATGAGTTTTAATTAGAATCCGTTTATTTAAGTCTGACGGCCGCGTAAGTCAACACAAAGTGCGTGACGTCACGAGTTCTTGGCATGCAATTCCGACCAGAAGAGCCGGCGCTTGTAGCGCCACCATCACGTGTTTCTCTTGCTTGAAGTTCGTCTCGTGTCTTCATCTTGTTCGTCTCGTGTCTTTGTCTTGTCCGTCTCGTGTCTTTATCTTGTCTGTCTCGTGTCTTTATCTTGTCCGTCTCGTGTCTTCATCTTGTTCGTCTCGTGTATTTATCTTGTTCGTCTCGTGTGTTTATCTTGTTCGTCTCGTGTATTTATCTTGTTCGTCTCGTTCGTGTCTTTATCTTGTTCGTTTCGTGTCTTCATCTTGTTCGTCTCGTGTATTTATCTTGTTCGTCTCATATGTTTTTTTGTTCGTCTCGTGTATTTATCTTGTTCGTCTCGTGTATTTATCTTGTTAGTCTCGTGTTTATCTTTCAAACTTGTGTTTTGCTTGTCGTCTGTATGTTTTTTCATGGATGTGTTTGTATGCTTACGTCTATTTATGTCTTGAACTTTCAGAAACCTATGGAAAAGAGCATTTGATGCTATACATAATTAAAAACAAAGGAGTTGTTTAAACGCGTAAAAGTGTAAACGATCTGATATTATTCTTGAAAAGTCAATCGAAATGTTGATAAGTCTTGTATGGTCCATTCAGTTTTGTGCATCGCCTTATGTAGTGGCGAATTCTGCCGGCCGCAGACAGCGGCGCACCGTTTAAACTTTAGACGCTGCTAAAGACGTGCTAATTTTGTCACAAGAAAAAAAACGTTATAAAAAAGTTGGTATGTATTCTCTATCTCTTGCTATAATGCCAACATCGTCCTCTTTTTGTCAGCTTCGTGCTTCTCCTTGTCTATTTTGTTCTCTTCCTTGTCTATTTCACTCTCTTCCTTGAAGACTTTGCTTAAGTCCTACATATGTAGAGACATGCGACTTCATCATCCTCTCTCTCGCTCTGTTTTCTGGCAATAAAATTATCACACGTACTGATGCATGGTTGCTGTGAATTTGATTTTTATTACTCCGGCTCAAAATGAGTTATTTCCGCGAAACTTATTTCGCTGGAAACTCTCTAGATTAGACCAGGGGTCTAGTGATTGCCAGTATAGGGTCGATGAGACCCTCAGTATGGGCGAGATTAATAGTCCCTAGACCTGCACATCCCCCGGGTATTTGTATCACAACTCTATGCACGAGGTCCTGGAGGAAACTGACATAACTCGAAAAGTTGAAGGATTTTTGCGACGCCAGGTTTGGACCGTTACGTGGGCTGCTGTGTCGTTAAATTGATAGCTAGTTTAAATTATCACAAGAATTGCTTGATGGCAACATTCGTATCGGTCAGGTCACGTCAAGCCATCCTAATTGATCTATAACGTTTCAATAAAATTCATAGCTTGACTATATATTTTCATAAGAAATGAAGCCATTCAATTAAACTTTCACAATTAACCTGCAATAAGTAAGGTTTTGTTCATTCTTATGAACTACCTAGAAAATAATGATCCATATACATGCATCCAAGAACTGTGATCAAATCTTATTAACATGCAGTATCGAACTTAGACGATCACTCACATGCAGTATTTGCATTGCGCAACAACTGCATTACGAATTCTACAACTTATACAAATTTTTCCCTAAAATTCTGCCTATAAATCACCTCTGTCATTGAAATTAGGAACCTATTTTCACGTATCACACACTAGTAGCGTATGCACGCATCATGTGTAAATCACATCGTCTAATCTGTTCAGAATTACGTGTAAAGTAAAAAATAATTTCACGGCCAGATATTGAACCTTTTATTAATCTTGCATTGAAGAAGATACGACATTCCGTATGCTGGCCATGTCAGAATGATTCCATGTAAGTTCTGGAATTTTCTAGACCAACACATTCGGATATACCGATATAGCGTGAGATTTGAAACCAGTAAGACCGACAATACTGCGGGCAGTGCGTGCAAGCTCTGCATATCGATCACCCTTAACTGCGCATCACCCAAGATATTGCGTCTATCTCAGGGTGAAGGCTTCGTGGTTTTCTTGTGCAGCCTTACCTTCTTTGTATCATTTATCGCAAATTTTGGGTAAATTATTTGTCATTCTATCAAGTAAATAATTCATTTCCACCTTCATCCAAATATTAATTATATTTGATTTGAATTTTAAAATTTGCTGTTCTTGTGATGCTATTTGCATCCTGAATCTAGTCAAGAAAAGTACAAGAATCGGCGACAGGCCTATCCAGGCCTACTCTTCAATGCCAAAGATATACTATACTATATGCTTAGTGCATTGGCTGAATAACGTATGCCTGAGATTTTTACGCACTCCGACACTCGTGTATTTAGTGTTGATTATGGCGCTTGACAAATATTTATTGGTTATTTACCACTGAACTATATCATCCATTCGATTAAAATTTACTCGTATACAATCCAAATTTGCTCCTGTCTCATGTTCATCGTGCATTCTAGTCTCAAGTTCAATGCGTTCACAGCTAGGAAGAGATCGCGGTTGCTCGCTCTCCCGCTGCAACACATCCACTAGTATCTGTGATAACCTCGCGCTCGTCTCCTATTGACGGACAGCAGCAAGCGCGCCTCCTCCGAGCGGTGTGATTGGCTGTGCTAGTGGGCGTGTGTGTTCGTTTCCTTGTTGCGAGGTGGCGGCGGTTGTCCTTGGCTGGGAGGTAGCGGCTGTCCAAAGTCCAAAGGGGAGAAGCGGGACGCTTACAGGTACAATATGCTCGAAGTTTAGTCGATTCCTGTCCGTGATTGTCGTCGGCCGCGTTGTTCGTGTCTCATGTTAAGCCTTGCTTATTCAAGGAATTGCATCGAGTGCTACGACTGTAACTTCGCGAAATGCCTACGTAAGTATTTTAAAGCTTCTGATGCAAACGTTAATGATTGTTTTGTTGCTGAAATGAATGAGAAACGTACCTAATGCGTATTCGCGTCCTTCAATCGAGCATGTCCATGTCGTTACCGTATATACTGTTGACGACTATTCGAAGTTATATCATCCAAATCATTCAATAGTACCAAACAAAAATTATTAAATTATAACTAAAATTGAGGATTTCGTGTACCAATTTGTCTGATAAGCTTTGCTACTAATTTGGTTTTGTCTTAAATCCACATGTCTCGCTTTTCCCAATTTTTAATCTAATTGCATGTGTCTTCTTTTTTGTGACCTACCATATATTTCATCTCCTGCAATTATTTACATAATATTTTTGTTCACAGGTGAATACAACAACATAATTTAAATATTATTAGAATGGTTGTGTGTTGTTGAGTTATCATTAACAACATTTAGGAACGCACTGACAACACATTATTGCTGGCTTCCTTTATTTCGAGCTGCGAATCCATGCGGCAAAAAAACATCCAGCGTTTTTCATAGCCGCAAAAATATTAAAATTCTGCAATTTTTTCACGCTGACCAGACGGGATGAACAGCAACCGGTGAGTATGTGTTGGTTCATGTGCACATGTTCCATATTTATTTAATATTTCCCATTGTAAATTCTACATGCCCAACTTTTGCTTCTATTGAGGACATTTGAATTCGAAATCTTCGTGCTTGAGGACATTCGAATTCGAATTGAGGACATTTGAATTCGAAATCTTGTTCGTTCTAATCCAGTTCGAGCTATTATCTTTTTCGTGCCTTATTTAGACTATAGACTCCGCAAATATATATTATATGTCACATAATTAATTTTGATCTAATTATCTAATGAATGAATCCATTTATCAAATTCCTAACTAAACTATATCGTGATGAAGGGACGGAGTGAAATGAACTTTAAGGTCTCAGCTGAACCTGCCAGTTGCGGACGACACTCAGAATTTCATGAAATTCATGAAGCTATTCCAGAAATGGACTACCTCAGATTCACGAGTCCCCCAAATATGTTGGGTAGTAAAGCCATAAAACGCGAAATAGATTTGTGTTTTATGGCTTCCGTACAAACAAGGCACTAATATCATACATCGTACGTATCTAATATCATTTAGGTAGCTAATTTTTACCCCACTTAATGAGTTGAGAACAAATACTGATGGTTCTGCCATACTTGAAGCAGCCATACCATACCATCAGACTCGTACCTTTGTTGATATATAATTAAATGAGATAATGACCTCATTATTGTTTCGTATCAGCTCTGCCATATTGCGCATAGTGATGGCAGAAATTGACGTAATAGTGATTAGATATCATAGACACTGCGCCGTATCCATGTAATCTATCTTGATTATATAAATTCCAAGTCAGTAGTACCTCGGCATCGCAGACTTGTACACGCACGTTCTAAGATACTTTCTTAACTGTACAATCAATTAAGAATGTTGTTTATTGTTTCTTAGCTACACAATTTGATGTAAAAAAATTCCTTTTTACGCACCAAGGAATAATTACGTTTTTAATTACGAGTGTCATTCACCGTTGCCTGCCTCGATACGTCTTTGTAATAAATACCATCTCTAGTAATTGAAAATACGGTATTGAACACAAAGGTATTGATAATCACTCAACTCGAAACTGAATTTCCTATCATGCATTCAACAAATGAGTGTAGTGATGATGGTGTAGAGAATGATCATCATCGCCACAAATGATTGTATTATAATAGATAATGTGTATTCAAAATATTTTTTTAACATATTAAAAGGACTTTTGAAACGTGCTTGCCGATCTACCAACACCATCTAATAACGCCTTTCGACTCGTTGAAGAAAAAAAGCGAACAAGTAAATTGTTAATAGATTGTATTCTTAGGGTTTCAATGAAAATTTTATTTGATAACAAGTTCTGCCGAAATATATCAAAATTATAGATATTAGTGATTCACGGAGCATAATGACGGGAGTGCGGATGCGAGGAATAATTCAATTTAATTGTATTGGCTTAATTTCAAGGAGTGTTCAGTTTTTTAGTATTTTAGATTTGAAAAATTTGTAATCCTTGCACATTTTTTAACGAATTCTGATCTAAATGAAACATTCCTAACCTCTTAAAATTGTTCTTCTTTAAAAATAGGTTCTTACGTTACTTCGAACTTCTTTTTGGCAATTAAAGTTTTAATTTCTTTTTTGTAAATTTAGTTATTCCATTGATTAAACTTTCACCCTTGCTGTGTTGAACTGATCATGGCGCCAGTCTCTGAAACGTTCTCAATGACATTATTTTCTTCTGATTTTATTTGCCTTTAAATTTCTCTCAATTTGATTAATTCTACAGGTGTGAATTCGTAAATCAAAAAATTTTATCAGTTGAGAAAAATATTATTGTCCTCTAATCGATACAATTATTATCTATACTTTCTTTATTACGCTTCTGGTTTCTAATAATTGTTATTCATTTTATACGCTCATGCAATTGGTCCGTCCTACAATTCATTTTTATGCTTGCATTTCCGATTCTGATATTGGACTTGCGAAAATACCGTAGATGATGAATATATCGAGTCTTTGCTTCTTAATTATACGTGAAATTGATATGTCGTGGACCATTTTTACCATGGATGTTAAAGAAAGGAATTGAATTAAACTTTTTTAAATTTATTCTCTTAGTTGCTGAAAAGAAATAAGCAACCTTTGAAATCTAAGATTCAGATTTCAACGGTTGGATGAATACCACCGTTAACCCGCTTGAACTCTTTATTCATTATAACCAATGTTGAACCATTAATCAACTTTATTCTATTGTGAATGTCACCTGAATCCCTACTTAACGCTATCTTAACCCATGAAAAATAATTTCACTGAATTTAACCCCCTGAAATGCTAAAAAATATTTAAAGCGTAAGTTTCGTTTTGCTTGCCGCTTCCTATGCTTCGAATAACATCCATAGTTTTCATTTTAAAATTCGATCACAGTCTCCATATGCAAAGTAAAGTCAAGCAATTTCTCACATGCAGACCTAAATTTTGCATTGCTTTCCTTATTTCCGGTGTACGCGCAGGCTTCCGGCATGTTGATTGCATGTTATAGGTGACCGCTTACAGCGTTCGTCGTAATTAACCTCTTGTGCAATCAAATGTATGTGTCTTTGAGCTATATTAAATTTAATTCCGTTTATGTTTTAGGATAGTGTGAGGAATTTTTTCCAACGAAATTACGAAGGAAATGAAGAAAATTTACATGATAATTCGTAAATTTTTGTCTGAATTTGTTCAACTGTTAGAAGAAAGTAAATACCTTGAGTCAACAGCGATAAGATCTCAGTGAATAGATAGCGACACAATGGACTCAAAGCTAGGTCTGCTAGTAAACACATGAGGATTTGTATTCACAAACGCCTCACTGACACTATGACGCTAAATTATACCCCTAAATGACATTGTGCATGCTTTCTAGCTTGGAAACAATTTATACGTGTTTATCTCATCGTTTTACAATATTCACCAAAACAGGGCCTGCCTCCCCACGCTGTGTTAACTATTGAACTAATCTCGTCTGTTCTGCCACCATTTCAGCTCATGTTCGTTGTTGTTGCTTTATTGAGAGATGCGCATGCACTCGTATTTTTTTATTTTTTTTTATCTTATCCAGAAATTGGTCATCCGTCCGGTATTTTCTGGCTCTCTGTGTATTTTTGATTCGTATGATTTTGCAATTTTATACGCCCCAACATCGACTGTTTGTATTTATATTATAGATAATTTGTATTTTTTTTTGTGATTCCATGTAGTTTTCATGAAACTGGTTGCTCGTATGGTTGATGGTTGTATATAGTCAGATGGGGTAAGACAGGACCGAAATCTCTAACAAGCATGTAGCATCTATACCATGAATAAATAAAAAACCCTAAACCTATCACAAGGTGTAGTTATGCAATGGGCTTCTAAGCTACAACTCAGACTTTCTGCATACAACATAGT